TTTATACTTTTTGACAATGTTATCTTGAAGGTGATAATAACATATTCCTCTCACTGCCCAAGGAAACACCTTATCACATGCACTTTTAATGGCCGTATGCCGGTCGGAGACTATCACCAGAGGCTCGTCATCAGATATACAAGTAGCCAATTTTGTGAAAAACCATTCCCAAGAAGGCTCGTCTTCAGCATCTACGATCTCAAAAGCCAATGGAAATATCTGAAAATTTCCATCTTGTGCGGCTGCAACCAACATAGTACCCTCATACTTCCCACTTAGGTGAGTCCCATCCACCACAATGACCCTTCGCTGATACTTCAAACCTTTGATAGAAGCTCCAAAAGACAGAAATAGATACTTAAATCTATCCATAGAATCAAGTTCTATAGCCGTGACTGAATCGGGATTTGCTAAGGAGATTTGCTCGAGATATGATGGCAGATGCGAATACCCATATTCTGATGTTCCTCTCACCAATGTTTGTGCATATAACAGTGCCCTGTATGAAGTGGTGTAATCAAGCTCCATGCCAAACATGTTCTTCATTGCATCTATGATATGCTGCGGAGTCAACCCATCAATGATTCCAACACGATCAATGAAAAGCCTACCGACATACTTCGGAGTACAGTGTCTCCGCTGAGCGATTCGGTCTCCCACTGAGCATGTATGTGTTTCCACATATTTTTTTACCCAAAACGTGTTTGTACCATGTTTCACACTCGCTCTTATCTTCCATCCACAACCACTAACCCGACATGTTGCCACAAGGAGAGTTTTCGTTGACTTGTATATTCTGAAGGAGAACTTACGCCTCACTGCTGTCAACCGCAGCTCTGAAAGCAGTGCATCCTTGCTAACAAAACTCTTGTTGACATATATACTATTACCATTCGATCGTCCTCCTTCAATAGCATATGTATCTTTGAAATCTTCAAAAACCACATCACCATCGTCTTCCTCATCCTCATCTCTAACCTTTCCATAAACACTATAATCCTCACCATTCTCGTCCGCTTCAGCAACATTAGAGCAAACAGAGATTTCAGCATCCTCCTCCTTATCATCCTCCTCCCCATCATCCTCCTCCTTATCATCCTCCTCCCCATCATGATTTTCATCTCCAACCAACTCATTATCACCTTCATCTTCAAAACATTCATCAGCTTCTTCCCTTTTCTCTGAAACCGTTTCCACCTTGCTACGGCTTGATACACAAAGACATACTCTATGAGTTTTGAGTATCTCGAGCAAGTTATGAACTTGTCTATCACTTGTAACATGAATGGGAGGGGTGTCTGGAGCCATCATCATTTCTGCTGGTAATGAGTATCTAATCTCCACAGTGATTGTGCTCATGTCCAGGTTATAATCTTCTTGTGCCATTGCAACNCAATCTTGCTCCTTTGAGATCATCAACCACAAAATCCCAACGGCAATCTTTCAACAACCATTCTCCATACACTGCATGTAACTGACGAATCATCTGCAAAAATTCAAAATAAAACACATTAGTAAACATAGAGAATTTCATGAAAGTTTACTAAACATCGTCTGGACGACATACCAGTAAGTCGTCCGGACGACTTACCTGTAAGTCGTTCGGACGACTTACTTCTAAGTCGCCCATTGAGGTCATTTTTGCAATTGAAATTTAAATGGGACGACTTACTTCTAAGTCGTCCAGCTTTGTTTGTTAAAAAAAAAACTCCAGACGACTTAATTATAAGTCGTCTAGATAAAACGGTCGACTTTTGCTTTTGACCGAATTGTGTCAGATATTTGACTTTTTCTGGACGACTTAAAATTAAGTCGTCCGTGGGAAAGTTAAAATTTCAATATTTTATTAAATCTAGACGACTTAATTATAAGTCGTCTCAGGTTAGTTTTGCAATTCAAAAATAAAACTTAAATTTTTAACTTCTCCAGACGACTTAATTAGAAGTCGTCTGATCAGAAGACTTAATTAGAAGTCGTCTGATCAGAAGACTTATGTTAAAGTCTTCCAGAATAAGCAAGGTTTGACTAGAAAACTCAAAAAATATTCCGGACGACTTTGATTATCCTGGACGACTTTAATCTAAGTCGTCTGAGCGGTCGACTTTTAATTAAGTCGTCTGGAGAAGTTAAAAATTTAAGTTTTATTTTTGAATTGCAAAACTAACCTGAGACGACTTATAATTAAGTCGTCTAAATTTAATAAAATATTGAAATTTTAACTTTCCCAGGGACGACTTAATTTTAAGTCGTCCAGAAAAAGTCAAATATCTGACATAATTCGGTCAAAAGCAAAAGTAGACCGTTTTATCTAGACGACTTATTATAAGTCGTCTGGAATTTTTTTTTTTAACAAACAAAGCTAGACGACTTAGAAGTAAGTCGTCCGTTTGACCAGAAGACTTATCCGTAAGTCTTCTACATCCAGAAGACTTACGGGTAAGTCTTCTACGTGAAGAGATCTGGAAAAAAAAATCAATTTCAAACCTTAAACTAGGTGAGATGACTTCCTTTGTACACAGAGTCTTCTCCAACCACCAAGAACATCGAACGAAAGTAACCCACCAACAATTGTATGCTTAAATGGCTCTATCAACCATAAAAAATTTGCTATCAAAAGCTTGGGTTTTTGGCATGAATATGCAGACAAAGTGAAGGAGATGTTGTTTTTAGTTCATAACAATTGAGAAAGAGAGTATGAGTATCGATTTTAAGTGCATTAAAAGCTTCAAACCTTGGTTATACAAGGTTGTTGGGAGTATTCATGGCAATGATAATGTTGTAAATACTTGAAGATGATGAGGTTGAGAGAGTAAAAAGGTCATTTTTGAAAAAAAGTAAAAAAAAAATTTAATAGCATTTTCGTAAATAAAATGAAGATGTGGGGTGGATAGGACAAAAACAAGATGAGTTAAAAGAAGAACTTACTTTTGTGTTTCACCATGAGTTTTCAGTCAAATTTGCAAAAAATCCAAAAAAAAAAAAAGCTATCTTGTTGACAAAAGAAAAAGCCGGCTCTTTCATGCCGCCTTGCTGCTATAGGAATCTGATTCTCATTTCTAAAACCCAGACAGTCTTTCGGATTCCTTTATTCCGAGGCCAATCACTGGTTGTCTCTCTCATTCAAAGATCGAAACTTACAAGAAGTAAATCATGTCCAGCGAAGGAGACACCACCCTCAAGTCTATCTGCTACAAGCCTGGCTCTCTCCAGTTACTCGATCAGGTTTCTCTAATAACTCTTTTCTTTTCACATTTCTATAGAAATCTCACAAACCAACGCTTCATGTAATCTCAACTATCATCTGAGCAGAGGAAGCTTCCTTTGGAGACTGCTTACTTAGAGATCCTTGATGCTGAAGATGGATGGTAAAAACTAATAACGAAAAATCATTATCTTTTTGATTGATTAGATTTGCGTATCTCTTAATAGTTTCAATGGTTCATTAGGAGTGCGATACAGGAGATGGTCGTACGTGGTGCTCCTGCTATAGCCATTGCTGCAGCTCTTTCTTTAGCTGTTGAAGTTTCTAACTGTAGTAGTTTCGGTGGATCATCGGCAGAAGCTGTTTCTTTCCTTGAGCAAAAATTGGATTATTTGGTGTCAAGGTACTGAATTTAGATTTAAAGTTTGCATCTTGGTTCCTTGTGATGGTACTAAAGTCCTTTGCTTTGTATTATGTTTCTTCTTCAGCCGGCCAACAGCTGTTAATCTTGCAGATGCTGCATTGAAACTTAAACAAGTTATAGCAAATGCCTTGGCTACTTCTGCCGTTGAACCTAACTCCATTTTTAAGGTAATTCCGTAAGAGCCAAATGTAGTGTTTCTCTGCTTATATGGTTATGGGCTGGGAAATGTTAGCTTAGAGAACTCAATTTAAACTAAGGAATGGTTGCTTTGTCTTGGATGATAGATTCCTGTTTTAATAGCTTAGAGAACTTGATTTGGACTGAGGAATGATAGCTTCATTTTTGCATATACATTTTTGGCTTTTTCTGTATCATTTATCTGCACATAGCTGAGCCATTTTTCCATTTTAAGTTCACGTCATTACCTACGCCTTTTTTACTTCAGGCATATATTGAAGCTGCTGAGAATATGCTCGAAGATGATGTCGCTTCAAACAAAGCAATAGGGACCTTTGGTTCAAGCTTACTGAGGCAGCAAGCCCAAAATCCTGACAAGCTTTCTGTTCTGACCCATTGCAACACCGGCAGGTATGATTTAAGATAGATTCTGAAACTCACTGAAGTTGGCAACAAGCCTGTGTATATTCATCACCTAACTGACCATGTCCTTTTGTTCGTAGCCTTGCTACTGCCGGATATGGAACTGCCCTGGGTGTTATCCGTGCACTCCACACTCAAGGAGTCTTAGAACGAGCATACTGCACAGAAACTCGTCCATTCAATCAGGTAGAACTCCTAAATATTACTTTTACTATTTAACTATTTGTAAGAATCCGTAGAATACCACAAGTTGTTTGGGACCATAGTTTTGACATCTGTTTTCATCAATATGATGGTAAAGTAAAGTAGGACAGATGAGTCTTGAATATTTGCCTCTATTGCTTGAACAGGGATCGAGACTTACAGCGTTTGAGTTGGTGCATGAAAAGATCCCAGCAACTCTCATTGCAGACTCAGCTGCAGCTGCACTCATGAAAGATGGTCGTGTAGATGGTGTCATTGTTGGAGCAGACCGTGTGGCTTCAAATGGTCCACTGAACCCACCTTAAGATAATCTGATTATTCTCTTCATAAATCTGAACTAATTCATTTCATTATGTTTCTAGGTGATACTGCTAACAAGATTGGGACTTACAGTCTCGCCCTGTGCGCAAAACATCACGGGATACCGTTTTATGTTGCTGCACCTCTCACCTCAGTTGATCTTTCTCTCTCGTCCGGGAAAGAGATAGTGATAGAAGAAAGAACAGCAAAGGAGTTGCTGAACACACATGGAGGGCTTGGTGAACGCATTGCAGCACCAGGGATCTCGGTTTGGAACCCAGCTTTTGATGTGACTCCAGCTGAGCTGATTGCAGGAATCATAACCGAGAAGGTTTGTGTCTCCAAAGATTATACTTGTTCTGGGTTTATTCAAGATTTGTCCATATAACAAAGAATGTATGTGCAGGGGGTCATAACAAAGAATGACAACGATGCATTTGACATAAGCAGCTTTGCCAAGGTGACAGGAAACTGAAGTTGTGTAGTCAGCTTTTCGATTCGCAGATGTGTCCATCTCGATGTTATTTTAACGATACAATAAGCTTTGTAATGTTTTCGACTACCGAATTTGTAGCGGGATAAATAATCAACTTGAGTGCTTTTTGTTTCTGGTGAGCAATATGAAAAGCAGAATGGTGCATTTGACATATGTTGTAAAGATTGTCTTGGGATAAGAAAGATTGTCTTGACATATCCGGCATTTGACAATTTTATCAATAAGATCGTTCGCATTTCCGACTTACAGAGTTCGATATATCTAAAATCTATCATTGGTGCGGTGACACGGTTCGTTATACATCAACGACAATGTCTCCTCCGTCATCGATGAAATCAGGATTCTCTATGGATGCTTTGAATCCAAATTCTTCAGTAAAAGATCTCGCGTTTCTAACGGGAGTGTATGGTACTCTGTGTAACGATGCGCAAGAGAAGGATAAGCAGTTTGATTCTATGGATGCTTGTTTCACTTCTATGGATAAGAAGCTCGATAACCTGTTGCGCGCGTTCGAGAAACGTCCGCTGACTGATTCAGAGCTGATACAGACTCCGATTCGTTTTTCGGAACCGTCGGTGTGAAAACCTAACGTACTTTTTCGAGATCTGGATCAGGAACGTAGCGGTTATTCTTTAGGTTATCGGAGTGATGAATTACATCTCGCGAACCGTAATAGTATGGTTAATAGAGTAGAGATGCCTACATTTGATGGATCAAAACGTTATGAATGGATTGTGGATGTGGAGTATTTTTCTCTCGTTGGGACATTATACAGAGGAGTCGAAGCTGGAGATGGTTCCTTTGTGTTTGCGTTGAGCTGTTAAGAAGTGGTTTGCGTGGGTTATGAAGAGAGAAGGCTTTCAGAGTTGGGAGGATTTCAAACAGAAGATGATTTTGAGATTCTCAGAATCGATTGATGAGAAACCTGAAACGAAGTTGTTTGCGATTAGGCAGACTGGTTCTGTGCAAGCTTATGTTATAGAGTTTGAAGATCTTTCAGCACAGGTTCCTGATTTGGCTGATCACCATCTGATGAGAATTTTTTTATAATGGTTTGAATGCTGAAAGGAAGGAGGTTATTCGTATGAAGGATCCACAGGGGTTGGAGAACTACATTTGAGCGGTCTTGCGTATGGAGACGAGTGTCTCTGTATAGTTGTGGGAGATGTTTCGTATAACAAAGGCTCAGGCTCCAAAGATTTTTCGCAGTCAGCTTACAGTTCATCGTCTTCGTTTCAGAATAATCAGACGAATAATGAGAAGCAGAAAGCTGTGGTTGTCGACTTGAAGCAGAACAAGGATTCTGCAGGAGGAAGTAAGAATAATCAGAGACCTCGTCAGCGGATTAGCGATGCAGAGTTGGATAATATGAGACGGGAAGGAGTATGTTTTAAGTGTGGTGCAAAGTGGTCAAGAGCTCATGCTGCAGTGTGTCATAATAAAGAGCTCAGGATATTAATTGTCATGCCTGGTTTGGAGTTGGAAGTGTTAACAGATGAGGATGGTGAAGTAATGTTAACTCATCCAACGGCAAATTCTGAACTCAAAACCTTGTCATGGAATTCATATTTGGGATACAGTTCACCAAAGAAACAAAGTTACATGGTATAATTGGTAATTCGGAGGTGATTGTCATGCTCGATAGTGGAGCGTCCCATAACTTCATATGTCCTGAATTTGTGAAGAGGCTGCAATTGAAAGTTTATGCAGATAACAGCCTTGATGTTTTACTTGGTAACAGACTGATAGTGAAGGGCCTTGGTGTCTGCAAATCTTTGGCTTTTCAGCTAAACTCTGAAACCTTTACATCTGACTTCATCTCCTTGGAATTGGGTGCGGTTGATTTGATTTTAGGTATATAGTGGCTTGAGACGTTAGGCAAGTGTGAGATAGACTGGAAGAAGCAGAAACTCTCATTTTTCTATCAAGGGAGACGAGTGACATTGTGGGGAGATCCAGCATTACATTGTACTCCTCCCTTGTTTCAGTCACTGCAACCTTTCTTCTTGCTTAGTACACATGGAAAAGAAGTGTTGTGTGCTAGTACAGAAGTATCATCAACCTCATCAGAAATTCCGTTAGCAGTGTCTCAGGTACTGGTGGCTTATGATGATGTGTTTGCTTTACCAACACAGTTACCACCATTACGTGGGAGGAACACTCTATTTATTTGTTTCCAGGAGTGTCCACGGTGTCCGTACGTCCTAACAGATACCCTCATCATACCAAGATAATCATGGAAAAGATGGTGACTGAGATGTTAGAAGCAGGCATCATCCGACCAGGTAATATCCCTTTTTCCAGTCCGGTTATGTTGGACAAGAAGAAAGACAATAGTTACCGTTTCTGCGTGGATTATAGAGCTTTGAACCGTGTGACTATTGCAAATAAGTTTCCAATACCAGTCATTGACCAACTACTCGATGAGCTACATGGTGCAGTGATTTTTTTCTATGTTGGACCTTCGTTCTGGTTATCATCAGATACGTATGGAGGAAAAGGACATCCATAAGACTCCCTTTTCCCACTATTTAAGGCCATTACGAGTTTTTAGTCATGCCATTTGGCTTGACTAATGCTCCAGCAACCTTCCAGATACTGATGAATCGATTGTTCAGACCTTTCCTGCGACAGTTTGTTTTGGTCTTTTTCGATGATATTTTGGTGTTTAGTAAGTCTGTGGAGCTACATGTTGAGCACTTGAAGGCAGTGTTACAAGTGTTTCAGGAACATTCTTTATTGGCTAATACGAAGAAGTGTGTGTTTGGGGTTTCTAAGGTGGAATATTTGGGTCATATAATTTCGGCAGTAGGAGTGGCTACAGAAGTTACCAAGACGGAAGCAATAAAAACTTGGCCGTCACCTTAAACAATCAAACAGCTTTGGGTTTTTTTAGGGTTAACTGGTTACTACAGGTGTTTTGTTTGTCATTAGGGTTCGTTTGCTAAACCTCTTACGACGTTATTAAAGAAAGACAAATTTGAATGGTCATCTTAAGCAGAGTTAGCATTTGAGAGGTTGAAAACAGCGATGATTACAGCACCTGTTTTGGCTTTACCGGATTTTTCTAAACCATTTGTGATCGAGTCTGATGCTTCTTGTTTTGGGTTGGGAGCAGTACTTATGCAGGATAAGAATCCAGTGGCTTTCTTTAGTCACGCTTTGACGGATAGAGCACAGTTGAAACCGGCTGACGAGAGGGAGCTTATGGCTGTGGTTATGGCCGTGCAGAAATGGAAACATTACTTATTGGGACGGAATTTTGTGGTTCATACTGATCAGAGGAGCTTGAAGTTCTTGTTAGAACAAAAGAAAGTGAACATGGAGTATCAACGGTGGCTTACGAAGCTTTTGGGTTATGATTTTGAAATTTTTTACAAGCCGGGGTGTGAAAACAAAGCAGCTGATGGTCTTTTGAGAAGTATGGACAGTGTTGATGGTTCGTGTAGTGCATTGCTATTGGCTTTTACCATACCTACAGTGTTACATATACAATATATTTACAAGGAGTTGGAGGCTGATGAGGATATTGTGGCTTTGAGAGAAGAGTGTTAGATGGTACGGTTAAGAATTCAAATTTTCAGGTGATTGCTGGAAAGTTATGGTAAAAGAAACGTCTGTTCTTATCTCAGAAGTCTCGGTTCGTTTCTTTGATCTTAACGGAGTGTCATGATATCAAGATGGGGGGGGGGGTCACTCTGGGGTTTTGAAGACTTTGAAACGTATTCAACAATATTTCTATTGGGAAGGTATGGCTAAGATGGTTCAGAAGTATGTCTCAGAATGTAATAATTGTCAGACGCACAAGTATTCTACGTTGTCGCCTGCTGGTTTACTACAACCTCTACCAGTACCAACGCGTGTATGGGATGATATTACAATAGACTTCATTGAAGGGTTACCCACGTCACAAGGTTACAATGTTATTTTGGTGGTGGTTGATAGATTGAGCAAGTATGGACATTTCTTGGCATTGAAACATCTTTTTTCTACAATGGATGTTGCTTCTAAGTTTGTTTGAGAGGTGGTACGTTTGCACGGATTTCCTCAGAGTATAGTTTCGGACATAGATCGTATCTTCTTGAGTGCTTTCTGGATGGATTGCTTCCGATTGTCAGGAACTAAACTGAAGTTTAGCACAACATTTCATCCTCAAACCGATGGTCAGTCTGAAGTATTAAATCGTTGTTTAGAGACGTACTTGCGTTGTTTCGCTTCGTCACATCCACGGACTTGGCACAAATTTTTGGCGTGGGCAGAGTTATGGTATAACACATCATTCCACACTTCGTTGAAGGCGTCTCCATTCTCTGTTTTATATGGAAGGGAACCACCGAGTTTGGTTAGGTTTGAGGAAGGTTCTACCAGAAATTTTGAGCTAGAGACTTCTTTAAGTGAGCCTGATAAGATGTTGGAACAGATCAAGTTCAGTCTCACACGTGCTCAAGAATTGATGAAGAAGTCTGCGGATGGTCACAGGCATGATGTTGAGTTTAAGGAGGGGGATATGGTTTTCCTTAAGCACAAACCATATTGTCAACAGACTGTTGCAAAAGGGTTTGTCAAAAGTTAGCTTCAAAATTCTTCTGTCCTTTTCAGATTGTGGCACGAGTGGGGAAGACAGCCTATAAGCTTCAGTTACCGGTGGCTTCTAAGATCCACCATGTGTTTCATGTGTCACAATTGAAGTTAGCATTGGGGAGTTGTGCAAAGATTCATCCTTTGCCGTTGGAGAGTTTAAAGGAGTTGGACAATGTGGTAGTTGTGATTGCTAAGCGATATGATGAGGAAGGATTCTTGGAGCTTTTGGTTACTTGGAAAGATTTTCCTTCTCATGATAACTCATGGATGTCCTATGTTGAGTTTGTGAAACAGTATCCACATTTCAAGCTTGAGGACAAGCTTGATTTCAAAGGAAGGAGTATTAATAATTATCAGAGGGCTTATTGCCGAAAGAAGAAGAAATATACTCTAGAGGAGACAGAAGGTTTGGCGACTGAAGATGTTGGAGGAGAGACATTGAGAGAAGTGGAGGGTTTGAAGAATTAATGACGAGGCAAACATTCAGTGCCAAAGAGAGGGTTTGCCATTATGAGTTGAGTCGTTGAAGTGCAGTTTAAATAAGAAAGTGAACGTTAGAAATGATTTATGCTTGTTTGTTTTAAATCCTTGGACGCCATGAGTCTAAGCTCAAGATCGTTATGAGATCTTGAGATTCAAGCTTTGAGTTGTAATTCGAGTTT